TATTTTCCTTCAGGACTCCAAGTAAGCGCTTGCTTTGTGATGCACTTTGGTGATTTCCGTAATGTATGTCCTATCCACTTCTAACACCTTTTTCTTCTCAGTTGGAAGCTGGTTTTTCCTCTCTAACAGTAGGCTTTCTTGTTTAATTTCGATGACTTTAAAGGAAATATCTAGTCGCCTACCTTCAGAGATTATCGTGTAAAACCATGTTAATATTAAGCTATATTATGAACCAAATAGGCTACTGATTGTGTTTTATATACTACTGATTCAATGAATAATAATATACTCCTCTTGTTAATAATATATCCAAGTAATTGAAAACCAACATTTAGATTTCTTCAGTGAATAACCATACTAAGTTCAAGTTATCTTTCTTAAATCGCATAATTTTCTTTATTACTTTTTTTATATCATCATTTTGTTGATTGAAGATGTAGTGCAACAAAATACCATATGATTCAGCTTATATTCCATATTAAAACCATCTAAATTCAGGTTATGTAATAATATTTTAACTGTTTTTACTAGGAATTTCAATCAATATATTTTGAATGACAGTTTTCAATCATTCATATAATGAAAAAATGCGGTCATAATAAATGTATGTTATTGATTGTTCATAGTACCTGTTAATCAAAGATATCCACTTCTTTTATTTTACAGAGGAGAAAAAAAACAAGATTAAACTGAATATTTTCCGATAGAGAAGATATTTTGTTTCTTCCTAACTTTTAGTCAATCAAATTTGAATATTTATTTATGTTTTTGTTTAAGTGTTTGCCTCAGTGTATGTGTACAAAAGTCAATGTATCCAAGAAAGTATGAAAGCTTTATGAATGGTTCCACATCATTAATGCTCGCTCTTATTATATGATGTTTTTCACTCACTCGATTTTATTACTCCTACTACTTCTTCCTCTTCTATTACTTCTTCTTCTTTCTCTACTACTACTACTACTACTACTACTACTACTACTACTACTACTACTACTACTACTACTACTACTACTACTACTACTACTACTACTACTACTACTACAATTTTCAACACTGATGATGATATAATGACCGATCGTTTGTTGATTAAGAAATATCACAGGAGATAATAGATTTGAAAAATATAGATATTGAAGTTGATCAAATCTGACTTCATAAAACATTTGTCTGTGTGAAAACATTTTAGGCATAGTGAGAAAATAAGTGATAAATACTGATACCTTTAGAAAAATAAACGTACAACGTCAAATTTAAAAATTAAATACTATTATACTCATCAATGAACGTCAAAGTTTTTCTTCATTAAAGTCATGAGCAGATCAAAGTCTTTTATATTTAATTTATCATAGGATCGTGGATATGAACAAACGTAGAATTCCGATCAAAAGATACGTAGTTCCATAGCTAATTTTATCCTAACATGAATATTATGTAAAAATGTGATGAGGGTTTAGCAGTAGCTTTCACTAAAACACATTGTTTATAACTGAGATTAAAAGAGGGTAAGTGATGTTTATCTATTCACATATACCAAATCTGCTTAATAAAAGCACCAGATGCCCTGGTAAGTCCTCAAATGCCTTGGTGCGGCTGAGGATGAAAAGAGTTAGCTCTCACTCTCAAGATCCTCTCACATGGCCACGTGCATACGGCTACTCTGTCAGGGAAGTCCTATTCACTGCCTTCATGAAGCATTACTGTTGTTTACGAAATTGAGAGGACAAAAAGCGAATGTCCGGCGCTTTAACCGGGTTGATGGAGACGGAGAGGTCATCTAGAGGAGTTGGAAAACCCTGATTTCAAACCAATGGTGCACATGGGCTCCAGTAATCTGAGGGAGCAAATGGGGTATGAACCAATTATTGATTACCGGCTACCATGGGATTACATCTCCTTATGTTGCTCCACTGCTTTGTGGATCAGACCTTTGTATCGAATGCTCCATGTGTGGTCTCCCAAGAAAATCATTTGCTTCGACCTAGGAACCCGGGCAGTATCACAGCCCACACACAAATCAAGTGACTTGTTTGGCGGATATGTATTCGATGCAGTTTTGTACCAATATTTATGTGTTCAAATAAATAAATAAAATTGTAAACTAGTCAATTCATCTTATAATCTGCTAAAATTTTATTGTTATTATGTAGCAATTAAACTACACGTTTCACAATTTTGATTTACAGAATACATTCAACAGAATGATACAAGAAGACTTTACCACATCATGTGATCATCATCTTGAATAGATCACGCTAGGCAAAAATTTTCTAAACAATGTAAGACGTACAGATTTCAATAAAATCTATTATAGTAAATATTTCAAAACTAAAAATGGTGAAATGAAATTTTTAACAAACTAACATTAGAATTTTAAATAACTTTATGTAATTAATGTATGTGTATGTATATAAGCACACTAATGATCAGTAATTATTATATTGTCATACATCTTTGCAGGTAACAGACCGTAACAAATTTATTAATCAGAAAGGGTTTTGGTGGGTTTTATAATAATTTAATAGTTGAATTCATGAATCAATTTAAACTAGACCACCACTATTGAAAATGTGAGAGCACTGGTCGCACCCATGATCCCACTCGTGGGATTCGAACCCAGGGCCTATCTATCTCGCACGCCTACATTTAATCTCTAAGCCATTGAGCTAGTATCCAATGGTGTTAATTTCTAACCTCAACTAATCTGATAGTTAGTGAGTTATTGTATTGATCAACAAAAGAGATTCACTGGTTGGATAATTAGGTGTATTTATTAACCTTATATTTTGCAATTTATGATGGAATAACAATGAAGAAGTCGTTTATGAGTTAGGAAATATGATAACAAATAAACTATTGTCAGATTTTGCCTTTTACATCAGAAGGAAGATCAATGAGCTTAATTATGTATTAATAAAACTAAATGTTGAAGATGACCACCCCTAAAAGCATGATTAAGTTCAACCGATTGTGAATGAAGTGTTAAACATGACGAAAATAATTTCTGTTAGAAAATGATTACAGACTATCCTCTTAATTAAATTAAATTATAAACAAACACGCAACTTAATTGAAGTTAAAAGCAACTAAGTAATTATAGATTCTTTCTTTTAGAGAGTAACATTTAGACCGTTTCTTTTTCGCTAAATCTATACATTGACTATATCAAAAGTGTACAGTCCATATGATTTAGTACATAAATAATATATTATACAAAATACAGAGTAGAATATACATGCAGTTTGATTTAGAGGAATATCTAGGAGTTGGGTCTTCGTATCTATTTTACATTTGAAATAAAATTGTCTTTGTTATTTCGTGAATAATAAAATTTCACTAAATTAAGAGAACTTCAAGTAGAAGTCTTCTACCTGAAGTTTGTGCTGATGATGTCGTTCAGAAGAACGATGAAAACACCACATCCAAACCATCTAGCTCAACGAACGAAACTCCATCAAAATCATTTACCTGAGCTGCAAGTCTTTTCCACCATCTCAAAAATTAAAAGGATTATTTTTAAGGATTCTTGTTTTAATATAACATAACACATTCGGTTCGCTTAATTAGTGCTAAAAATGAAAATGAATTAATGAAATCATTATCCTTTTTGTGTATTTACATGACTACAGTAATAATCTAACTAGACTTATTGAAAGGTTTCAATCGTAGATTGGAATTGGAATCCTTGACTAATAGATGAGAATAAGTACAATTTTGATTCCTTGATGTTCTATAATTATTAATCTATGGTTATCCAACATTAAACACATTTGTTCAGTTTAATGACTATGTGAATAACACTATTCACAGTTAAATAATAATATACATTTAGAATAAGATGTTATATTCTTTATTAATCCTCATTTTCAGAAGGGGTTTTGTGGAGATTTTAGAAATTTCACTGATTGAAAACATGAGTCAATTGAAGCTAGATCACCAGGGAAAACCTGGGAGCACTGGACGGCCGTTTCGTTCTAGTATGGAACTCCTCGGTGGAGTTCAACCAGGTTTGTTGTGAGATGTCAACCCACTGAAGACAATGGTGTGCGGTAGCGCAACTTCGTGGATTGGTTGAAGTTAGACATTAACACCGTTGGATGCCAAACATTTCAGTCAGATATATTATACAATGTATATTTTGTCAAATCCATATGTTAGTTTAGATATAATATGAAATTAGGTGTTTTTCAATTTTTTTAACAGCCTTCAAAAGATACTGAATGCGAAGTAAATATTTAGAAAGGTGGTTCTATATGTATTTCATAGCTAGGTAGTTTTCCTGGTATGAGATACATAAAAATTATGGTTCAGTAAACCAGTGTTTAATATTTTCTATCAACGCTCTACATAAGTCAAAGAAAGAGGTTTTATAACTCTATATATGGTCGACAATTGACATCGAGTATACCTAAGAATATTATCAAAGTTTCATATTTGTTTTAGATATGATCTACATTATTAATATAAAATTCTATTTCCTAATACATTCTCTCTGATCGAGCATTTATTGTTTGATCTGAATAGTTCACTTTCTTTCAGATCAATGCTCTATATACGTCCTTTGTTGTAATCTTTATGGTTTGAATTGATGAATTACTATATTTTAAATGTTATCATTGACCAAGAACCTTAGGAACAACGTTTGGCTTTAATAATTTACAAAAATGACAAATAACGTTGTTTTAATTATCCGTCTATTTACAAATCAAGTAATGTAGCCATCGTATGATAACAAAGACTATTTAGCTCAACAGTAGAATCATTAACCGGATCATTCTAAAATCTAAGAGATGTATACTACATTCAAACATTGGATACAAGATATCTGTTATCTCAACTATGGTTTACAATAAATGAAAACACCAGTTATTATCTCTGATAAGTAGGTTGGTATATAAGAATAACTTTGTATATTGTTTTACTCAAGCAACAATATTATGGACAAAATTTATTAACACAAAAAAATATCTAAACATCTATATCAGAAATCATTATTGACTTACTAGATCTCATATTTGAATCTGGATTCTTTTTTGGAATAGTCGATTGATTTCCATTAACTTGACCTTCTTTCATTTCTGTTGATATTGTTGTTATATTAATAGATTGTTTATATTCTGTTGAATCAATTGTAGTGTATTTCGGTACTAATAATAAACAGTCTTTTAAGCCTAGTTCACAAGTTTCTTCACAGAATTGAATATTTTTCTCTAATAAATCCTATATATTTTTATTATCCATAGTGTTATCGTCAATGGTATGGATCGACACATATTTGATTATATTCCAAAATATTATGTTCATTATGAAAAACAAGAGAATAGTGGTAAATACTTTTTTTCGCAACAATAAAAAGATTTAATAGTTGAACATATAAGTAATATATATATGTATATATATACTAAACGGTTTAGTTAGAAACCCCTAATTCTCAATTATGATAGGACATAGAATATCTTTACGAAATCATAGTGACTAATTGCATGGTATTTATTATGAATGAATCTTGATAAATTATGTTTCAACTAGTTAATCAAGACAATTTCTTACTCTTTTTGAAGTTTATACACAGATACAAAATGTTATTATGTGATATTTTGTAGTTCTCAGAAATAGTATGTGATTAGTCCCTTGATTTGTTTCTGTTTTGCTTTTTTGTTTTTTTGTAACGAAAAAAAAATATTGAATGTTTACTGTTTTGTTTTTCCTTTTCCAAAAAATGTTTTTGCAGTTAACCGAATGTTTTTCGTTTACGAATATTAATCAAAAATAAAACTCCTTTTATTTTGTAAGTAATAAGTGTAAACAGATTATAGTAAGGATTGTAATATTCTCGTATTAGTTGTTATGCACCAATCATCATAATTTTTTTTCTTTACAGTTCATATCCTACTGAACATATTAACTAAATGAATTCTAGTAATATGATTATATTACTATTAATATAGTCTCATTTTTATTTTACTTGTCTTCAGTTGCATCATAAGGGGTGCAATAGGAAGATAGTGGTTATTTGCATTTAGTGTGTGTATATATATACATATATATATGTATTTGTAGGTGTACATGTGTTTACGTGTTCACATTGGTGTATCTAGTATTTATTCGCTTGTGTATAAATGTATGTGCGGGTGTGGAAAACTGTTTAGTCCTTTATTTTTTGTAATGTAAAACAACTTTTTAAACAGACGATTTATTCCTGAATATCTTCAAAGATATAACTATTTATTTTTGCAAGTATAAATTTATATTTAAACAATGTATTGCCTGAGATAAATTGATGTAAATTAAGGATACTTGTATAACTTGAAAAAGGTAAAAATGTACCTATTTACAATATAACCTAAGAAAAACTTTGTCGAGACAAATGAAAATATTTTCCTCTTTTGGTTAATCACATAATCAATACTCGAATAGATAGTTTTTGTACATGCTCTAATCAACGAAGTCGTTAAGGTAGGAGATCGTTGGTGAATGCTTCCATTTGACTGGTAACCTTCAAATACTACTCCTTATTAGTTGAACATAATCATTGTTTAAAATTACAAATTCAAGTTAATTAGCACATCTTCATGAGAGAAACATTTACAGTTACATTGCTGAGACAGTTATTTTAGGAAATTCTCTAGTGTTTTTGGTATTAACGTTTTACATAAACAAAATGCATCATAGTATCATTTACCTACTTTGTTTAAATTGAGCGTCGTTGAGGTGCTCGGTTCAAATAGTGATATCCTCAAGATTCAACTTTGAATGCATGGGTAACATAAACAAGTCATACATGTAACACTGTATATCGTAGTACATTGATTGTTATAATTAGAGTTGATGCTTTCAACCGTACTTAATTAGCAAGGTTAATAGTTCGTATTTAAGAATATCATTTCGCAGGTTTTAATTAACCGATATATTTGATTTTATCTAATCTTTCACATTAAAACAATCGTCATATCATTAATAACTCGAAATTTCATAAATTGCCAGTTTCGTCTATACATATATTTGTTCTTAGTTGATATAGGTGTATTCATAAAGCAGACTGAATTTCATAGTGAAGCATAATACCTTGTTATAACAAGTAGAGTACAATTTATTTTGATGGTTAGGAAACAAATAAACTCATATCGACCATAAAATGGTACGCTTAAATAAATTGTGGTATACACTAATCATGATCAGATGTAATATGAACCATTTATTAATTTCATGTGAGCGCAAAACATCGGATACACTATTAATCAATAGTTTTATAAATAGTTATCAAGATATAGTCATGTTTAAGAATCCCAAACTTCAATCTCATTGTAATCAGTCAATATTGGTATTACAAATGTTTGACATAAAATACACTCAATAAATTAATGTTAAGTAATAGTTATTGAATAGGAAATGACATAGAAATCACTATACGACTTCGTAGTATAACTTCACAAGTATCTTTTGAACAGAACCATATGAAAATATTTATACTCCTAGTGCTAACACATGAAATCCATAATACATTACAAAGCATTTTTAATTAAATGACTAATCAACTTTTCAAAATTCCACTATTAAAATAAATGCAAAAACCATAAACCACTAGTACAAAAAAAGTATATAGGAACAGAAATAAGTAAGATCCAAATTGAGATCTTAAAAATAAAGATCAATGAGCATTTGTAACTTCGATATATAACATGGTTGGTATGTATTCTACTCGTAAATGATATGCGTTTTCTAATATACTAATATTTTACTGTAACATTTGCTTATTCATCTCTTTCTATCCATTTAGGGGGAATAAGAGAATGTTTATGATAACATTTAATCATTTAATTTTGATAGAAATAATAAATATGTTTCAAATGTATTGGATATAGTTCAAACTTTATACTGGGTTTTTTTTGTGACAAAATTGTTTATTATACTGAGTACACAATAATTAACATTAGCCCCGATTCAATTCAAAGATTTATATAACTTTAATAGTTAAGATCATGAGTCAATGGAAACTAGACCCTCATGCAAAACCTGGAAGTACTGGAAGGCCGTTTCGTCCTCCTATGGGACTCTTCAACACTACGCATTCACGACCTCGCCTCACGAGTTTTGAACCAAGGACTTACCGGACTCGAGAGCGAACACTAGATCTCTACACCACTGAGCTGGCATCCAGCGGTGTTAATGTCTAACTTTGACCGATCCACAAAATTGAGCTACCGCCCACCAGTGTCTTCGGTTGATTACTATCTCACAACAGACCCGGTCAAACCCCACTGGTCGCTGCTTCCCAATAGAACTACAGGTAATACATCTTGAAGCCGGTCACTAGTGAGCATATGTTGATTAGTATCAGAAGGGGTTATGTGGATGCTGTAGTAATTTTAATATTTGAGATCATGAGTCAATTGAAGCTAGATCATCATGGGAAACCTGGAAGCGGTGGATTTTGAATTTCAGTAACAGAATATATTTTTAAGATTATGAAAAATTATTTTTATTCAAAGCATGAATGGTGAAACAATGACTCATTAAAAGTTACTTAATTACACCAAAAAAACTTCATGAAAATGCATGAGTTAAGATTTAGTTCTTTCCAAAGTTCTTTAATGTTTTAAATAGTAAAAATATTCCTATACAAAAAAGTTTGAAATAACCAAAATGTATTCAGTGATATTAATTTTATTCAACGTTTATTTTGTTCTAAGCAAAGGTGGATAGTGACTAACAGTGGAATCCAGTTTAACGTATATTTCGTCCTATTTGGGACTGCTCAGTTTAATGTACCTGCATCTCAGAATTGATGTTCACTCTAGAACACAAACCTAGTACTGTTCGCTTCAAACGTCATCACGTTATCCACTTAGCTACTGAGTCCATCTTTGCATCAAATGCTTGTGAATTAAAGCAATATAAAGGTAATACATACAGTATGCACATATGTCAATAACAGACCGATCAATTGCAATGCTAAACATCAATGGGATCATTCAAATAAACAATACTAAATGAGTTTGTTTTATTGATTATTAAAATAAAATATCAACACAAATGTCAACAAATTGATATTTCAATGCTTATCTAAAAAAAAGAACAAAGATATGTCATAAATAAACAAAACTCATGCCTATCAATAAGAATTACTTCAAGTTGTTCTTCTTTTCCGAGATAATAAATTCATTGAATTGTTATTATCAGTTTAATAAATCAGTTTGGTGGTTTATATCATTGGAAATTTCAATGGTACATTGTTTGTGATAAAATTTAACACTAGTATCAAATGTTTAAAAGTAGTATATTTTTAGTTTAAGTTTTGTGAACAAACATCTACAAAAGTGTTCTTAGCAACTTTACTTTTATTTTATTACTCGGATATTGACATATGAAACATAACAATGTAAGTATTATGTCATAATTTATGTGAAAAATGATCTGTAACGATAATGAAGGTTACAGGAAATCTTTTCGACTTATCTGCTTATTGTAGTTCCAAATTATTAGATTTTAAAAAAAAAACAACTATATAATTGCCATTCATATTCTTGAAGATTTTCAACATGGAATGTTTATGAGTAAAATATTTAATATCAGAAGGGGTTTTATGGAGATTGTAGTAATTTCAATAGTTAAGACCATCAGTCAGTTAAAGCTAGACCACTATGGAAAACCTGGAAGCACTGGACAGCCGTTTCGTCCTATTGTGGGATTCTCGCGAGGCGGAGTCGTGACTGCGCAATGTTGAGAAGTCTCACAATAAAACAAAACAGCCGTCCAATGCTTCCAGGTTTTCTATGCTGGTCTAGCTTCAATTGACTTATGGAATCAACTATTAAAATATTCAAGCCAAGAGTTATTTGATAAGAATTTCTAACAATGAAATAATGAATAAAATTGTTAAATAAAGTAACAGTATCCTACATATTATTGATAAAACTAAGTACTGATATAGTATTAATAATATTATTGGTAATCGGAGACTATAATGTTTAGAGTTTTAAGTTAATTGTATTGAGTGATTGAGTTGAAAATTATAATAAGAAAGCTGGTTGTTTCAGTTGAAAGTAAGTGAAAATCTCATCTGAATTAGTAGATTTAGAGTAACGTTTAAACAATGTTCAGTTAAGTAGAGAACAATATGGAACCGTTACTCATTTTCATCAGACACATATCGAAAAAAAAGATCAAATGGTTACATTTATTTTATATGTCTATTCTTGTAAAATTTCAGTGGATTTTTG